CTGCAAATCTTTTTATGGGCGCAAATACATTATGAAAGTCAGTAATTGTACGCTTCGCTTACAAATTTGGATACAAATGTACGAATATGATCATTTCACCTGCAATGAGCACGCGCTGCTTTTTTGCTCTGCAGAAAGAACGACTTTGATTTTTATAAATAATTGATTGACAGAAAAAGGAGGATTTTTGAATCAGCGAAATCGATAACATATGTCCCTTCTCAAATTTCAGCTTTGCCCCTAACCGTCATTTGTAGATAGTCATTTAAGATGTGCTTTTAATTGCGCTTTCGGAGTTTCATAGATTAGTAAAGTATCATAGAATAATTTCTTGTGTGCTTCAGCATTTTGGAGTTAGATTTGCAGGTGGTCGGAAATCTCGATGTACATGAAAAGATGGTGGTAAAGCCGTGAATACGCACGCGCGCATTGTATCTTCCATCTTCTCGGTCGATTCGTTTCGTTTCCGAGTGTACATCATATCTATCATATGCTTTTGAGTAATATTGGTTGTATTGATTTGTGCATGTGTGTTGTCTAGTCGCAGATTAGTCTGTATTTACCAATAACACTTAATTTATATGTATTATTAGTAATAATAATGGTACTGCACTTGCCTCCTTCAAGAATTATACTTTTTAAAAGAAGTATTTGATAAAGTCTTTCAATTTTGAGATGTACTTGCCAGAAATTTGTATTGTTGGAGTGTTTGATGTTAAAATTAAGATTTTGTCAAAGATTGGCATTTGCTTAGTTTCAAAGTAAATTCCATCTCTTGTGATATGCATTGGCTGAATTTGAAAAAAGAGATGATATAACTCTAATCAGTTTTTATATCGTCATGCAAGTGGTGCAATTAGCCTTCAAGCTGAAGTGCACAGTTGTTGTAAAACTGCAAATTGTGGACTTAATTGGATTTTTATGTGCGCTGGTTCTTTACGCAGAAAGCCGAGTGATTTGATAGAACTGTGTGTCATGCCATTCACATGCTATTAATCACGTAGGGTAAAGGAGCAAAATTGACAGATTGGTGCATTGAGATGTGAAGCAGTCAGCTAATCTATCGACATATTCATTGTATGGGTGCTCATGTCTACTGTACAGAAGGTCGACGGGAACCTTCTAACTATAAGAAAATCTGGGAAATATAATACAAATGGTACGATTTAGTAAGGTTGGCAGGTGTTTGTCTGTGATATTTGTCACAAAACACAATCAAAAGAAGTAACAAGTGGATTTTCATGCATACACCTATAGAGCTTTCTTTGCGCTGTGAGTACATTATGTGACGATTGAAAGGAGAATAGGTACGTAGTATATAAGTGAGTTGGGTATAAAGGTCATTGTTGCATAGAGAGCTCTAAAGTGTGATGTTAATCTCAAGAAAAAGTTACAAAAGGACTGCGAGCAGCCTATCCTGGTAGAGGAATATTCATCACGATTAGTCGCCGCTCATGGACAAGAACCGCATTTCTATGCTTTATCGAGCATGAAACTTTGATTTTTCCTATGTACAAGATTTTAGAGTGCCTGTCAGCTTATTCCAAAGTAACGGTGCTCCACTGGATCTACTAATCATGATAAACATACTGGAAAAGATCAGTATTCCACGAGAACGGATCTCACTGGGTTGAATGCTCTTTACCCTTCTATACAACCTGCTTAGCAAATAGCACAAATTTTTTGAAAATAATGTAGCGCTCATACGTTTCAGGGTTGGAAACATATGAACATGCAGAAGTATAATTTGCGAACTCTGCTAATGTGAGACATTATCCCGAACAGTTAAGGAGCTTATGTTGGAAGCTTATGAGGAAAACACTTCGTGACAGTTTTTCTTCGGAGAGAAGGTAGTCCTTGGGCCTGGATCAAATTGTATGGCTAAAATATCACCATGCGGATCAGTGACGTTGGATTAACCTTCATCAGCATAACATTCTCGTATTTGGT